AACCTAAATCTAGGTCAATCTTTCATTCTAATAATATATGAATTGTAAAATGTTTAACAATGTCCTTTCTTTGTGAGTGAATACATTTTTAGTTTCTGAAATAAGGTCTTTGTTTTTCTTTATTGCTAATATTGATGGATTCTTGTATCTTTGGATATCCTTTCAGATCGGAGTAAAGCAGAAATGGACTTAAAGGAACTAAGTGAAACAGTTCAGCAGAAACAAGGAGCCACACCGGTCCTCACTTCCCCAAAAAGACAAATCAAGAGCCGTTTTCAACTAAACCTGGACAAAACCATTGAGAGTTGCAAGGCACAATTGGGTTAGTATAGATACCATTGAGAGCCTCTGTAGTCATTTCTAAAGAATTTCTGTGTGTTGATGTTCAGTCATATCAGTGCCATCACTGAAAAGTTTCCTAATGAAGCACATTTTTGTGCAGTGCCTTTATTATGATGTGATGATCTGTTCTGTCATTTTAGGTCTACTTGAACCACTCCTTTGTAGATAAGTCCTGTAACATATTGAATTGATTGCCTCTTTCCTTGCTTTCCAGGTATTGATGAGATCTCTGTGGATGCGTATAAAGGTGTGGGACACAGTGACTCGGAAGATTCTGATAAATCTGACTCCAGTGACAGTGAGTACGCAAGTGATGAGGAGCAAAAGACCAAGGATGGCCAAGACACAGCACCCAGTGAGGAGCCCCAGAAGGAATCTACGAAAACTAAAGTCAAAGACCAGCCTTCCCCAAGCCTAGAAGGGGAGAGTAAAGCAGATTTGCTTGTAGCATCTGAATCTGCAGCAGGTGATGCCTGTGCAACAGTGTCTGATGCTCCCCCTAAAGAGAAAACAAGCTCTGATTTAGAAAAAGAGAACCCAGAAAAGTCTAAAGCACCTCCAGAATCACCTGTTCCCAGAGAAAAGGTGAAACAAGAGACAAAGCAGACTGTGCCAGTAGAGGACTCTGACTCAGAGAGGGAGCTGGTTATTGACCTTGGAGAGGAGCAGGGTGGCAAGGACAGGAAGAGGAGCAAAAAAGACAGCAGCACTATTAAAGAGTCCACAGCTGGTAAACCTGAAGGTGAGTTATTCATTCTCCACTGATCCCCAGGAAAATTATCTAATGCTGAGTGTAATATCCATTTTTAACATCTGTAACATGAAAACATCAGCAGCTATGTACAGGCAAAACTAGTTAATTATGCATTTGCTTTTTCTTGTAGGTAAAGCTTTGACAACGTCGACACTCCCATCTCAAAACAGCACGGCCCCCTCCACACCCTCCAGTGTTTCCACGCAGTCGCCAATGGCCATTCCCGTCACCATGGTCTCCTTCACTGCTCCCTCTCCTGCCACCATTAGCCTTACATCCGTGTCCAGTGCCACTGCAACTCCCCCTTCTTCCTCCTCAACCTCCACCACACCAGCTTTGAAGAAACAGCGCCCTCTGCTGCCAAGAGAGACGGTACCAGTGGTACAGAGAGCTGTGGTGTGGAATCCCACTGCCAAGTTTCAGACCTCTTCTCAGAAGTGGCACATGCAGAAGGTGCAGCGTCAGCAACAAAACCAACAACCTGTGGCAAACACACAGGTGCAGGCATCATCTCCCAGACAAGGCCAGGCTCAAGTGCTGACCCAGACACAAGCAGCTGGAAATGGCTCGGCTGCAGTCTCCTCACCTTCAGCACAGCAGTCTTCACAAAGCACACGTTACCAGACCAGGCAGTCTGTGAAAGGTAAACAATGTTTTGTTCACAAAATGCACAGTATCTAAGTGTGAATTTAAACTGAATGTGGACCTGTGTATATCAAGATACTGTTATGTAAAGTAATTACAGGAATTTAATATGCAAATGTTTATATAAATGGTATAAACACAATAACTAATCAGTTGGAATATTACAGTTAAACTTCTATAGTAGCTTCCTTCATATTCCACAGTGTGGTTGTCTGTAATGTTGTTGCTGATTATTCGTGTCTTTTGATGTAGCTGTTCAGGCAAAAGACAGTCCACTCGGCACATCCACATCAGCTGTCACCCTGGTATCCAGCAGCCCAGCGTCTGTTGCCATGATGGCAGCATCCAGTTTGGGCACAGCGGCTACATCTTCACCAGTAGCAACAGACCTGTACATCCCCACTGCCTCAGCAGATGTGGCTGCAGACATTGCCAAGTACACAAATAAAGTCAGTAAATATAATTGTTTTTAATTTACATTTGCTTTGTAATGGGCCAAATCCCTTGAATTTTTTGCTACGACTGATCATTTGCTGGCAAGCGCTGTTAGCAATTTATTTGAAAGGGGGAAACAGTTCTGGTTTCTACTAAACTAAGATACTTCAGTACGTGACAGTTTTAAAACTTCTTATGTTTTGACAGCTGTGAACCAAATTTCTGTTGGTAGTCAATATGGTAAACATTCTTTTTTTCCTTGCATGACACATTGTACTAAAATGGTCTCTCTTTGTCAGATAATGGATGCAATCAAAGGTACGATGACTGAAATCTACAATGACCTTTCTAAGAGTACCTCAGGGAATACAATAGCAGAGGTGGGTGTTTATATGTGGCTATATAGAGACTGAATACTTTTCAGGTCTTAACAGTGACTTCGCAGATGACTCTTTTCTCATCCTATCGACCCATGTGTTTTCCTACAGATAAGACGACTGAGAATTGAAATAGAAAAATTGCAGTGGTTGCATCAACAAGAGTTGTCAGAAATGAAGCACAATCTTGGTGAGACCTCAATCAATTATTTATCAACCATGCCATCCTTCATACTGTGTAATGTTGTGTGTCCATATAGTGCTTTCGTTTGGCAGAAAAGTGCTTGGAGGGTGTTTTTGTGTACTTCATCCCATCTCTTCGTCATAAAGGCCTGCTATGTTGCTTCTGTAACACCAGCATCTTGACAGTTGATCACCACTTTAACTGCCATAATTGGAGAGATATGACTGGTTGCCTGAAAAGCTGTAACAGTGACAACAGTAGTGGCTCAGTTCAGAGATTTTCAACTAGAAGCGCTTAAAAATGTGCAGCACTCAGAAAAATATAATGCAATGTTTTCCTGTAATTGGTAAAATTTAAAAAAAGATGCTGGCACTCAAAAAAGAACCACTATATGGATGCTCAGCCTCATACTTGTGCTTGTTCATGCTTGTGTTGTTCAATCCAGAGTTGACCATGGCAGAGATGAGGCAAAGTCTGGAGCAGGAGAGAGAGAGGTTGGTGACTGAGGTGAAGAAACAGATGGAGCTGGAGAAGCAGCAGGCAGTGGACGAGACAAAGAAGAAACAGTGGTGCGCTAACTGCAGAAAAGAGGCCATCTTCTACTGCTGCTGGAACACCAGCTACTGTGATTACCCCTGTCAGCAAGCCCACTGGCCAGAACACATGAAGTCCTGCACTCAGTCAGGTAACAGCGCGCGCTAGCATTGACATGCTGTTGACGTTTATAAAAACAAAGACTCCTGTTTTTTTTCTTGTAGCAGTGCTTAACCCATGCCTCGAGTCTCTGATCCATTTCTTCTATGATTGTCATTCACTTACTGCTGATGTTTTCATAGATGTAAGAATTTTTCTCACTTCTGTTCACTTTTTAGCCACAGCACCACAGCAAGAACCTGAGGCTGAGCCGACGGCAGACCCCCCAAACAAAGGTTTAGCGCCAACTAGCAGTGGCCCCAACTCTCTCAGAGACTCGCCAGTGTCTGCACCACCAGACAAAGACTGTGACATGGAGAAGAGCACTGACAATGTTGCTGTCACTTTGTCATAACCAAGCATACGATACTTGAAAATGTAAATGTATAGATTGTTTTTTATTTACTACAAGGATATGTCTATGTAAATTGTTCCATTCAAGAGCCTGTTCCAGATTAATATTTCAAAGTATTTTTATTTATATTTTATGTTTGCCTATTCAGGGCTCACATACTGCCCCCAGTGCACAGTGGTGTAAAACAAGACTGACAGCAGATAGTAGTAACCACTAGAGCGGGGCAGTTTAATAAACAGATTGTTGGTTCATGCAGAGAGTTGTCAGTATAAAGATCGTAAGAGCATGCTTGAGTGTCACAAAGTCACAAAATATACACATAGTGTAAAGGACAACAGTTAAAAGAGTTTACGACTGCAAAATGTAAACCATGTTTATGGACCACCTCAGTTGTAGATTAGATGACTGCTGACAGAAATGTCTGTAAATTACATATTTTGTATTCTGTGTTAATTTATTTGTTATTCTAATGTTGCCTGCTGTATACCGCAAAGAAAATAACCAATACACACATTTTAAACAAGCTGTTTCTATGATTACGCTGGGGTTTGCATAGTTACCAAGCAGTCTGCAATCAGTTAAACGAGTTTCAACTGGAGGTTGAGTCAGAAAATAGGTTGTGCAATTATTATCTGAAAGTCAATAGCTAACGCAGTCTGGAAGAACTATCGCTCACAAACAGGGCCATCTCAAGTTTCACCTTTTTGTTGACTCTAAAGTTGTTGAGACCTTGCTCATGTGTTTGTTTGGTTTTTGGTATACGTACATCTTTACTATTACACACTGTACTCTTATATGTAACTGCTGAAAGAGAACGTTTATCAGGCCATCAATGACAGACTCATCAGAAATCAGATTTATGCAGTTCTGTGTTGACAGATAGAATTAACGATTTTAGACTTTAGTAAATTTGGCAGATATCAGCTCTTAATTGCGAGCTTGTTCTGTCTGCAACCTGACCGTTATGTGACAAACATTCAGTATGCTGCATGCTGAAGCTGACATATTAAAATCTTCAAAGTTTCCTATTTTGATTTTCCAATGAAATAAAAAGTTACACCTTCGCAGCCCTGAAGATGGTTATGTATTGCTGGACTGCTGAGCACGGGGCCTACAAGCCAAACAAACCCTGCACTGTTTTTGGTTTATGGCTCAGTTCTCCTCCTGGCCGGTGGGGGCGCTGCAGACACACACCGCGTTCTATAAACCGTCAGCCATCTGCCGCAGTCACTTAGCTCCAACAGGATTGGAAAATGGAGGACTGACCGAAGAAAGAGTGAGGGCACATCATCGGTATTCCAAGTGTTTAGGTGGGTAGAATTCGGCCACTTAATACTGTAGTTGCGTAGTGTTGGATTTTTGCTGGATGCGTTCGTGTGTCAGTGTCTGTAATGCTGCTTGGGCTTGTTGTAGTGCAGCTGTCGGAGGCAAGGTTGAACATGATGCGCCTGACGTTAGCTGCGACGTTTACAACTATTGGACTCCGGCCGTTCATATTTGTTTAATTTAGCGTTTGCTCCGGATTAAATGTGGCTTACGGTTTTTGTTTTAGTGGTTGTGTATGTTTTATATGTAAGGGTTATCTGAGTGCTAATCGTTTCAAGCTGGGTTTGCCGTTAGCTTACCCATGCTCGTTGTGGCTAACATCGTTAGCTAGGTTTGCTGGCTACAAGCGCACGTTGTGCAACACGCAGTTATTCGTTGTAGTCAAAACGACGAAAGAAAAGGCAGAATAATAGAAAAGGGGCACATTTAACGTTATTTCAGTGAACTCCCCCACTCAGTAATTCAACAGGGCGTGTGCCGCTGGGTTTACAGTTGGCGTTAGCTCGCTGTGAGTAGTGAAGTGATTTGGCGGAATGTTGATTTGCAGCCATCATTGGCGTTGTCGAGTGTGCAGGAGGCATAGTCTGCTATCTGAGTAAGCTGCCTTGTGTTTCATATTCACTCCTGCTTGTGTCATGATATGTTTGCTAAGCATTTTTTGAATTGCATAAGATAATATTGTGTGTTTATGTGGTTCGTAGTGAGGGGGAAAATACGGTTATATCATGCGCACCAAGGCCGTGTGTAGCCTCCCTCCTGACGTGTCGAGCAGCAGCTGCCGGACCTCCATGCCGCCTGTTACAGTTCCTGCTAGCATGTTATACCGCATAATTTCTGTGCATGTGACACATTTGATTTCATCCGTGAATATACGCAATAAAATGTTAAATTTGATCTTCGCCACGGGCCCCTCCCACCTTCCGTGGCAACAGTTGTCCCCCCCCTATCCATCCCCCCTTCACGTGGCACGGTGTCGTGACCACAGGCGCACCATTGGAGGAATCCCGTTAACTCGCTCGCAGTCTTTAGGTGTTTTTTTGTTTGTTTGTTTTTAACCCCCCAGTGTTGTCGGTGCAGTGTGCAAAGCTCACTCATGGCTCAATTTAAAAGCAGATGCTATTGCAGAGTATGAATTTACTTAGAATATAGTTGTATACTATTTAATTTTACAATTAGCGTGATTTATGTTATTCCCTAGAGTTTGCAATTTGCAATCCCCCTAAGTTGCAAACCGTTCTCACCCCTGTTTTGCTTTGTTAACGTCAATCAGCTGTCCTACTCATATTTTTTTATAATTGATTCATTCATCCTGTTGCTTACAATAACACTGCAAAGTAGTTTTTGATCATATGAAGTTCAAACTTGTGAAAGGTAAACGGGGGAAAATGCTAAATGTCCCACTTACTACTAGCATTCAATTTCCAGAAGATACACGATTTGCTTTTTGCATTATCTCTACAAGTGCATGCTATTGTGCTGCATCTCAGTCCTCCTGTGAATTATAGAGTACTTTGATCCTAACTGGTGTTTTCCTTTCTCTGGCAGATCTGTTAACCTTGTACCAAGACTGAAACTTACTGATGTGAAGCCTTTGTTTTGTTTGAAGAGGCACTGCTGACCTTCAGGTACAGACGTTGGCTTTTTAAAAAGTTATTATTATGAGATGGTCTTGAATGTAATATCAAGGTTAGCTCTGGAGAATCATAAGTAATGTACGACTTCCTTAATTCTCATTTGCAGAATAAAATCCAACTGCCATGAACAGCCGATTTCTGAATTGTGTTTGGTCACCACAAATTTGGCTTTAAACATGTGAATGGCTGATGCTACCTGATTGTCAAACAGGTTATTCAGGTTTTATCTCTTTATCTTGTATACCAAAGTTACTCCTGTTGAGCAGAGGACAAACTGCACTTAGCATCTATCATCAGAACTTTACATTGAAAACAGTATAACATGCTGTGCAGTCAACTTCAGAGATTCAGGACTAAAGAATCCATACATACCAGATGATTTTATACTGGCAGATGGTTAACCAGGAATAGGAAAAAAGCAATGTGATGTGACAGTTACTAAGGGCCTGTGTACTGTTGAAAGACAAAGTAAGTTTTGTTTTCCTCTTCTTTTATAGTAATAATAATATTTAAAGTGCGACACAGGCTTCTTTATGCCTTCAAGATCATGGTACTCTTGGTTCTTGACCTAAACAGATACATGTCCTATATTTGTTTTAGGAAAATTCAATTCTTTGACCACAAAGCACTGACTGTTCTTGGCATTGACGGCCTTTGTTTTCAAGATGTCTGTGCCCCTCTCAGTATTGCATCTGTCATTTGTAGCAGCTGTAGTGCGATTGTCGAGCTGCTCAGTGATGTTATCGGTGTCACGTCAACAAGTGATGTCATGGCATACCTTCAGAATAGCTGACATTAAAGAAGATTCAAAACTGTGTTGTGCAAATAAACTGTTTTATTTTTAAGGTTGTTTTGGAGTGTGAATGTAATAGAAACGTATATCTCCAAATGTCTAACAATCCTAGCGCTGTCTAAACTCTGGTACCTATCGATAATCGTTATAAACTGAAAGAGTGACTCATAGTCGGTCTCTTGTGTTCTTCTCTTAACTGTAGACATTCATTTTGAAAGTAGTGACTCCATCATCTATGGAGGAGAATGTGAGCCCTGAGCTCTCTCTAGCTCCTGAGCCAGAGCAGAGCCAGGAGCGCATGGAAAGCTACTCTCAAGGTACCTTGAAAGTGCTTTTATCTGTTAATAACATTACAGTAATTCTGGGAACAGTTTTGGTGTTAGGTTCTGTGATCTTTTTGAGTGATTTTATTATTTTTTTTAATTTAAAATTGTAGGGGTAAGTAAGGATCATGTTAAAATCAAGGAATCATTGTCCAGGGTTTTTCCTGGCTCAGAATGGGTCTTTTGAGGGGTGCTTGTGCAAAACAGTAAGCATGATCAGTCCATGCAGAGCAAAGGCAAGGAGTCAGTGTGATCTTAATTGACAGAAATCTGTGCATTTTCCTGTTATTTCTGACCATTTGATAAACAAATTGTAAAGTAAATGAGAGATGCTGAAACACTAATTAACAAAATGAGTTTTAAAACAAATCAATCCTCATAATTGTGGTACAGCTGATTTTCTTTTGGTGCTAACTAAAACCTCTTTTGAGGATGCCCAAAATTCCTCTGTGTAGGAAAAACCCTGATTTTTAAATAGGTTTTGACTCATGTATGCCTGATCACAAAACAATCGATAGTTTCATGGCTATTTTGTTAAGTTACAAACTGGTGATTACATGCCATGATTGTTTGTTCACAGGCTTGGGAGAAGGAGATAGTGAACAGTTTCAAACAGGAGATGAGAATGTGGCCAAAGAGTTGCTAGAGGAGCCAGATAAATCTTCTAAGGCCAGCAGTGAGGTAAAGAAGACTTGGGGTTTCCGTCGGTCCACTGTTGCGAAGAGAGAGATGCCAGTGGAAGCGTCAACCGACAGCCCTGAAAGCCGCTGTCCTGTGCGGCGCAGTGGCAGACAGCCGAAGCGTACTGACAAACTAGAAGAATTCCTCTTGACGACTAAAAGAGGGGCAAGAAAGAGTGCCCCTCCCAGTCTGGAAAGTGGAGATCCGCCTTCTCAAACTCCAACAGATGCAGAGACTGCTTCAGAGGCCAGCTTCGACGGTAACGCTGACTCCAAGGTTGGGGAAGAGAGAGCAGAGTCCCCAGAGAGGAGGACAAGAAGTGGCGTACGGAAGCAGGCTCAAAGGAAAAGTGGAGGTGGCAGACAGACGAGAGGTTGTGGTGGAGCGACGGTCAAAGATGAGGGAAGCTCTGAGAATGAGGAAGACGGCACAGATGCTGTCAGAAAAGATCAATCACAGGATAACGATGTGGAGACAAAAGAAGACAAGAGTGATCCCACCTCTGAAGACATAGTGAGCATTAATGCAGCCCAGATGCAACTGGAGCAGGACTCTGAGAAGACAGAGGTTGATGAGGAGAAGAATGAACATGGAGATAAAAATGACCAGGTCAAAATGGAAAACGAAGCGGATGAGGACAGCGTAGACAAGCCGTCAGCAATGCCAGCAAAACGTGGACCAATAAGAACTTATGTCAATAAGAAAAGAGTTGCCAGTAAGAACACTACGGCTGTTAAAGCCCCTGCTTCTGCCATCAAGAACACTCCTCCTGTTAAGAAGGATACAAAGCCTAAAGCTATCCAAAGTGCTGGAAAGATAGGCAAGCCCCATACACAGGACGACGATGATGAGAATGACTCCTGCACATCATCATCATCTTCATCGTCGTCGTCGTCATCAGTTGAGTCTGATGATGGAGGCTATGACCCCAATGCACTTTACTGCATCTGTCGACAGAAACACAACAAAAGGTATGTTGTTATGATGGTCATTGTGTATTACAATTGCTGTTAGCTCATTGTCAATTTAACAGCTTTAAGTGACGCTTCACATTAAACGTGGTTTTTATGATTGGATTGTACCCTCACATTAGATCTAGCCAACACAACAAACTTAGTCCTATTGGGACACTTCATGGCTGAATACAGCAACTTAATCTCGACTGCCTGCATGCACCATAGTAGCTGTGGCTACATGCTAGTAACATTACTGCTTCTACACACTAGAGCTGCTCACTGCCAACACACTTAACCTACGTCACACGCACAAATGAATGCTCGACTCCAACAATCTGTGTTAAATCAGATCTTTGACTGATGCTTCAAAGCGTTGACTTTCAGTCCTAGTTTATATGCTTCTTGTTTGCTTCTCCTTGTTCTCACATTAGTGGACACTTCCACTGATTCCAGTTTGTCTTGTGATACACAAGTCTAAAAGTACAAGAAAAGCTAGACAGTTTGTGTTGACAGTTGCTTGTCTAATGTCCTGTGCTCACTAGATTTATGATCTGCTGTGACCGCTGTGAGGAGTGGTTCCACGGGGACTGTGTTGGTATCACTGAGGCTCGTGGGCGTCTGATGGAGAGAAACGGGGAAGACTACATTTGCCCCAACTGCACTGCAAAGAAAAACCAGGTGGTCAGGCCGGCCACATCAATCCTCTCTGCAAGTGCAGAGATCGGGAAATCCAAAATGGATGTTTCTTCTCTGGTAAATGCTGCTGGTATGACCTCTGCTGCAACTGCTGACAGAACCAACGTCAGTGGAGCAGACTCCAGTCTGTCAGCTGCTGTGGCTGGAACTCCATCCTTCACCACTACTGGAACTGAAGAGAAAGGAGTAGAGGACCTGGGCATAAAAGGCAGGATAGAGAAAGCTACTCATCCAACTGGAAAAAAGAAGATAAAGATCTTTCAGCCGGTAGGTCCTTGCAACTGTTATCAACTTAAAGAGTTCCTAGCTATTAAACCTTGTTGTTTAAGTTGGCAGATACATTGTTTTGTTATAAAATACTCCATGGTGCATCTCAAATGCTGTCCTGATAATTACTGTGATGCCACAGTTAATGATTTGATCCCTATGTAATGCTATAAACCATTACCCCAACTTTGGTTGTTTTCTGAGTCTGCATGGGTCGTGGCCTTATTTTTTAACAATGCAGATTATGACCGAATAAGTAGAAGCCAATGGCTAGACATTAACAATATAACATGCAGGATACTCTCTATGTGGACAAACACATTAAGGGTGTGGTAAAAGGCAGCAAACAACACCCTGCAACTGAAAACATGTTTAGACATCTTTTCAAATTTCCATTGCTATCAATAAAATGAATGGAGAATTCTGTATGAGATACAAAATTCTCTGATTGTTTACAATGCAGAAAGACATTACCAGTCAATAGCTGTTAATTTTATTTTGTACTGACTTGGAGCAGGCATTACAGCAGCCACCTGTACCCAAAGCTGACCAGAAGGCCACATCAGCTGTGGAAAAGAAGGCAGCATCCACAGCAGAGCAGAAATCAACACAAGACACAGAGCAGAAAGTTGCATCAAACGTGGAGGTGAAAACGACTCCAACAGTGGAACTGCCAGAGGACAAGACCATGCAGAAATCTGAGGACGACTCTTCTCTTCCAAAATGTATTGGTCCTGGTTGTGACAATAATGCTCAGCCAGACTCTGTGTACTGTGGAAACGACTGTATCCTGAGACATGCTGCTGCTGCCATGAAGTCTATCACTGATGTCAAAGAGCCCAAGCAGAAGGACAAGGACAAATCCAAGGCTCAGAAAAACAAGTCCACACCAAAGGTAACTCGGACTACCTGAAATGGTGGCCTTTGCCTGTCCTTAAAGCAGGGATGTTGATGCCTTTCACATGTTGAGATAACTGTCCAGGTTAGCCAATACCAAAGAGAAAAGCTTTCTTAGAGACGGTGTACGACTGCCATTCTGCCAAACCCATAGAATTGAGACATTTAAAAGTATATTGTGAACACATTTGGGAGATATTTAAGTGCATTTTTATCTGCTGAATGTTTTTTCTTGTTGGCTCAAGTTTGGTGTAACTTTTGAAGACAAGTACTTCACTATCCTGTTTTTGTCTTACCTAAGTGCTATTACAATTATGTTTTGGGAGGGAAGGGGAAGTCCAGTTTTAATATTTCACTTGGCTTTTTAATGTTACATGGAGGCAAACCTTGGCCTGATTACAAAATGACTGAGCAAGTTTCGATGTTAACTCTAAAGCACTTGGAAGTGGAGTTTCTTAACAAATGGCAACTAGCAGCTGCTATGTTCCGATTTCAGAATATGTTGATGTTGAAGTGCCAGTCAGAATAAGCCAATTTAGCAGCTTGGCCACTTAACTCCTGTCTTATCATAGGCTCTTTTGAAGAATAAAACTGGAACCTGTTTGTTTGAAAAATTAAAAGTGGCACAAACATTCTCACAGCTGGCCAAACAGAACGTGAAGTGGGTGCAAATGTTGGCATTAACAAGTGCTGAAATCTGCTGAAAACAGTCGACACAGACGCCTCCTATTTATCGTCAGAAAGTTGTGGTGGAAGAGGCTTTCTAATGGTATCTGACCTTCTGACACAGTTCAAAGAGAGCATATAATCCTGCTTAATCACTCCCACTGGATCATCACACTGACAAATGAACTGCATGTAGATTAAACTGACTAGTATGTAAGTGTGGACCAAGAATTTCTTAGCTTTACAACCTAATTTATTATTAAACATGAGTCCATTAAGGCCTCTAATGTTCTCCAGCCTGAGTGAATATGTGGTGACCTTATGCAGTTATAACTACAGATGCAAGACTATGGCTGGTGATAAGAATGCTTTCTTTTCAGAATGTTTACGTCTTAATACTTTATCTACCACATATTTTGGTTCCAGACAATGGGTGTGTGTTTAAACTTGATATAGCAGCACTCTTTGCATTTGTCATATCCTGTGTTGTATTTCTGTTTTTAGTGATGAACTACAGTGGGGAAGAAAAATCTCAAGTATATGCTTAAACACTATAGATGGGCTGTATAATACCTGAACAGTGTTCTTACCTTCGAGTGTTTCATTTTGTGGTGGCATTCTGTGTTATTTATTAGCTGAATATCAGTGCATTTTTGCCTGTGCAACAACAGAAATTCCCTACAGGCAGTAGGTGTAGTCTTAAATTTGCTGTCAGAAGTGATTTATTTCTCATTATGAACTCCTGTGGTCTCATTACTTCAAGAATTAAAATGGACTTTTGTAATATTAAACCATGAAGGGCTGAGGGAGTGAGTAAACCATGATGCACACTAAAGTGGCATAACTTTCACTGAATGCGCTTTGACATGTTCAGGGGGACAGTCTTCATTCAGTTTAAACTGTAGAACTGCTGCTTGAAGAAAGCATGACAATGTGGTACTTTCTTTGTGAGACTGGGCCCTGCAGGCAGTGCCTGAAATTACCTTTATGGCTCACAAGCCGAGACCAGTAAAATATACCTTCCTAGAATAGTTAAATACGCAGTGAATATTTTTCACAGAAATATATTGAGGCTTACAGAAAACTTGTAGGAGTTCCAGTCCCAGGCCTGGGAATTGCAGAAATGCCCTTAATTTGCTTGGAATTAACTGCACGCTAAAGCTGTCAGAAGACTGTTATTGATTTATGTTGCATTTCTTGCCAAGGGCAGATCTTCCTGACATTTGGCAGTAGTTCTTAGAAGGAATTGATTTTAAAACACAACATGGCAAATATTTTTGCATTTTCTCATAATGTTAATCAAACGGTCCTCTCTCAGCTACTAAAACATCTGAATGTGTGTTTCTTTTCATCCACCCAGAGGAGTGGTGCTAGTGGGAAGAAAGCGCAGAAGAGGAACCAGGAGGAGGACTCGGACAGCGAGGAAGACAGCTCCGATGCAGATGAGGACGACGAAGATGAGCATGCTGAGGAGCACCCACCCCCGCCGGCCACTGCGTCCTGGTCCAGCGACCATAATTACATTGCAGTAACACCAGAAAAGACTACACCCATATCACCAACAGTGTTAAACAAAAAGTGTATGTATCTCTTTGAAGGTCTTGGGCTGTTGTTGAAACCACATTGTTGTTCTTCCATTATAAATGTGGTTGCTGTCATGCTAACATCATTTAGACATGATCCGTACATTTGGGAAAGAACATGAACTCATCTGTGCACTACACATTTCGAAGGGTTTTGTGGTTTTAATGTAAAGATTTTGTTATCCAATGAAATGTTGGCTGCTGTGAAACAGGTAAGTGCCATTCGTGGGTTTTGGTAAGTATTCAGTAACTCAATGTCTTTATTTTGAAAGGGGCACTCCACAGATTTCACACATTTCGTGAAGAATTTTTCTGGAGCTCCGGAGGAGCTTTCCAAAGTCTGACAAATGAACCCTGATGATTTCAACAGGGTTATCTCTGCGTTGAATTGGAGACTTTAAACCGCTAACAGTGAGCCTGTGTCATTAAAGGCAGGGTTTTTCTAAGTTGTAGACATTTACAGGGTCTAACAAATGGTGTTGATGTGTCTCAGTAAATGCAGTGTTTCTGGATTGGGTCCTGTAATATAGGATACTACTGGATTCCTCTGCTGCATTTATTTGAATCCCTGATAATTTATAACTTTTTTAGTCTTTTCAAAGTGCCCTGCTGAATCACTGGAGCACCCCTTTTAAACATTTAATCCTTAAATTGCAGGGTTGTATGAAAACTTAAGAAGGAGCGGCTAGTAGAAACGGAAAGGAGGACAGTAATTTTAAACTTCCAGCAGAGATGTTTGGACGTGATGAATGCAGTGTGTGTGTGTGTGTGTCTGTGTGTTTGAGTTAGCGTCCAATGTACCTGCTTTATTTACCTCTCCATTTCCTGGGTTCATCACCTCAGCTGTTGGTCCCAAAAAGGTCCTTCCCTCTCTTTCTCCAGCAGGTAGGTGTCCCAAATGTTAAGGTGAAGCTGTGCAGAGCTGATAATGTCAGCTGTTGTGCACAAACGTTGTTTTTGCTGCCCTTAGTTTTGTGGCTGTTTTTTCAAAGTTTTTGATTCATATTGAATATGATGATACCCTGCTCGTGGGAAACTGGCTTTAAAATAAAAGGTGATAAACAGATTTTTGGATGCCTCGATTGATTATGTGAGCAGTGTTGGCTTGCTGTAGGATATCCTGACCAGTTCAGCTCAAACAAGCATATACAACTGTTCAAGCTACACACACTGTGGAGACGTGATGCTCGAGAGCCTTGGATGGTGAGCTGCTGGATAAGAAGGCTTCTGCCATGAAGACCTGTGTACCTGGAGAGATGCAGTGAAGTTCAGGAAGGCAGCAGCAGAAGATTGGAACTGAAGACCTGGGATCAGTGCACAGAGCTAGAAGAGAGAAACATCTTCAACATTTTTCCACACATTTTGCATCTGATGAGATTTGATACATATTAAGGGAACACATGAAATGTGGACATTTTTATTGTCGGTTCTCCTTCATAAAAGGCTCTTTGAAGGGACTCTGAGGATACTTTCTTGATAGGATTGCAAGTTAATGTTAGGTAAATGCTGCCTGTCAGTTATAAGATCAGCATGGCCACTGATTGTTGTGTTGTCCACAGGAGGACATTAGAGCTCACTGATTTGCTCATTTATAGCCCTTATATTGCTGGCTGATATTGTGACTGGTGTGAAAGCTTATCTTTAGAAAACAGCTTTTGATTGCTTTGGGTCTCAATACTGTTGCTCTGCACACAGTTATTGTGTTTATATATTCAGTGGGTGCACAGTGTGTCAGGTGAGGTTATTGCTCATGCTGATGCAGCTTGAACATGATGGCCATGGTGCTATAGCATCTGCAGGTGACAGTTGGAAGAAGGATTTGACAAGTAGTGAGTTCAAGTTTCAAGCAGGGACATATACTGATATATTCCTGTGAATGTTGAGGCCTTGACCAAATGCATTATGTGTGGGATTCTTCATGATTTATTTAAATGACATGACCATAAACAAGAGTTTCACCTCGTTGCTTTGGAAGCCATCCAGTTGCCAACTGTTGATAGTGTTTGTAGCTGATCTTGTGACCTGAATATATTTTTATGTTTATGGTTTTAGACTTAGTTATTTTAATCTTTAATTATTGCCTACTAATTTTTTAAATCTGCAAACAATGTCGTCGTCCATTTATATTTTTTGTAAGCAGTGATACAGTGGCATAACGTCATAGTCAGTGGATAGCTGGTTTAGGCTGCTAGTCTCATGGTTAAATGAGATAATTATTTAGAATCAATATTTCTAGTCCTTTCTTTCCAGTAACTGCTGCTGGACAGCTAACTGTTGGAGTTTGCACAAAGTTGCTCAAGCTAGTACTGCTATCAGTTCCCTATTTCCTGCCCGGCTATATGGATATGGTCGTTCAGCCTGTCTCTTGAGGAAGTACTCATTAGCCCCTCTTGAGGATCATCACCCCCAATTGATATTTGGGAGAGCTTTCTTTTTTAAAGAACCTGCATGAACAGCACTATGTATCTGCTGTCACTGCAACAAATAAAGAGGGACTATTTATCTGCTTCTTTGTCAACTTTGTGTTTATTTCAAAATGTTTTTATGAGTGTGCAGGAATATTTGTGACTGCCTTATGACTTCATTTCTAAGAATTTGTTCTGTTTTTACATTTTGTGAAAGGAGTTTTATTGGTGTTTGTTTTAATCGTCATTTCATAATATAGTGCTTTTTATTCCCTCAGCATTGTAATCATTGATTTGTGACAGCTGTCAAGTGAGAATTGGGATTATATCTGTATTTTGGCAAAATACTGCATCTACTAATTTTCAAATACTGGATCTTGTTCTTGATTTCCAGCCCCTCCCAAAGAAGAGAAGCAGAGTGAGAAGAAGGAGAAGGAAGCAGCCCCAGCACCTGAGAAAGCCCCCTCTGCCTCTCCAACACCAGGCAAAGCAAACAAGAAGCCCAGCCCAGCAAGTAAAGCAGCAAAGGTTTCCTCGAAGGGCAAGAAGCCTTCGGTTCAAGCTGTCAGCACAAGGTCATCCAGGAAAGCTGCGACACCCCCGGCTAAAAGTGCAGCAAAGTCCAAGAAGGCAGGCCCACCACCCAGTCGTAGCCAGTCTCAATTCCCTCCAGGTCCTATCCATGTCACAGGCGCACTGAGAGTCACCAAGTCCAACTTCACTATTCCTAAGAAGCAGCCACAACAAAAGGACACTAGTTCCCACAGTCAGTCCTCCTCATCCTCTAGAGTCCCATCGTCTTCAGTTTCATCTGCGTCTTCCAGTCATTCTTCATCTTCCAGAACTTCGCATTCTGCAGGTTCAGCACCTGCCGTTTCTCCCATGCCACCTCCACCCAACAACCAGATGAGGCAGAACATCCGGCGCTCACTAACAGACATCCTCTATAAGAGGTGAGTGTCTCGCAAAACCCAGTTTGTGATGTCGTTTTTGTTTTTAAAATGTGTAAAGTAAATTGTTGGCTAAGTTCAGACACAAATTTCCATTGTGTTCCCTGCCACCAGGGTGAGTGACAGTGATGATCTGAAAATGACAGAAAGCGAGGTGGGACGGCTGGCAGTTGCCATTGAGAAGGAGATGTTTAACCTCTGCCTTAGCACTGACAGCAAGTACAAGAACAAATACAGGTCCCTCATGTTCAACCTGAAAGATCCTAAAAACAAAGTGAGTCAACACACACATGCATCCTCTGTTTCAGATAAGTTTATATCTTGTTTTTAGGAAGTTGTGAATGTTAAGGCAGCATGAAAAACTTAGCCTTCATGTTGAATTGTATGGTCTCCGTCTGTCTCAGGGCTTGTTCTACAGGGTCATTGGTGGTGAGGTGAGTCCCTTCCGACTGGTGAGACTAAGTGCTGAAGAGTTGCTTTCCAAAGAGATTTCTGAATGGAGAAAACCTGACACTCCTGAGGTAAATGTTACTCCTTTTTAACTTTTGTAACTTAACACCAAGTTCATCTGGATTCTTTTTGGGATTTACTGTTTGCTTAAAGTGGCAACTGTTAATTTTTTCTTCTGCAGCCTCAGTCTTCAAGTTCAAGAGGTCATTTAGGACAGTCCAAACTGGGCAACAGGCACGACTCTGGCTCCCATAGCATGGATATGGAGGACGCTCCACCAACATCTGACGCAGATGTATGTATCTCGGCCACCGCTTCATCTTCTCGCATGGCTTCTGCTACAGTAAGTGGTGGCAAGCTGCTCTTCTTGAAATTTCACACTTTCTTTTCACCTTGCATGGGGTTCTTCATTGTTCTTCTTCCAAAACTAACAAAATAAATAGGCCAGTTAAGGTATTACAAGTTAGTTAATGTGCCAACTTTCCTGTCCTGTACTTTGGAGTTTCCTGTCACTTTCTTTCTCAAGCTTTTTGCTGCCATCACAGTAGTAAAGAATTGGGGTTACATGAGTGATGATCATGTTCCAGTTTATCTAAGGTTTGACTTGAACCGCCTTGTATGTGTTTTCAGGATCAAGATGACTTGGGCTCCATGCCTTCAGCCTCAGCTCAGTCCTCTGGTGCTGAGGGGAACAGTGGCGGCAGCATGCCAGACATTTTCAGCAACATGCTCAAAGACACCACTGCTGAACACAGGACTCATTTGTTCGACCTCAACTGTAAAATATGCACAGGTAAATAAGAGGATGATACAAGGTGCTATATTAATATTCCCTTAATAGATTAAAGGTGATTTCTTATGCAACAGATTACTATATTCTTGTTTTTAAATTTCACCCTATAGGACAAAAGATGGAAGACGAACCTGCAGCTAAAAAAGCCAGACTTGCTAAGAAGCCTGAAACTAAGTCCCCCAGACAAGAGTCGTTTTCATCCAGGTCAGGGGATGTCTCTCCTGTCGGCCAACCACAGGTTCCCACGACCCACCAGCACCAAGATCCTTTATCCCACCAACACCCTTCGTCCTACCAGTCCAACATGGAGGCCGCTGTTGCAGAATCACAGCCACAGCTCTATCAGGAGGACACGATGGCATCTCCAGCCCAGGCCACTGTACCTGTCACCCCTGCTGTCTCCTCCGTCACCATCACTCGCAGAGACCCACGCATGGCCAGGCACAGCTCTGGGGTGACTGTCACCTATCCTGCTCCAGAAAAACCCACCAGCAATGCAGCAGAGCTGCTCCCAGCTTCTGTTACTGCTCAGGTGGAGGCTGTTCCTAAGGCACCACTACCGATGCCCCCAGCTCCACCGCCCTCAGTGGCTGTGCCCAAACCGTCAAAAACAAGGTGCTCCATTATGCTCATTATGCTTCCTCAAATTCACTAATACCAAGGGTCTCCCTGAAATTCCTTATGTATTAATATTTTTATTACCAGTGTATGTTATTGTTGGTTTTGTTAATATAAGTTTTGCAGAAAGGCTCATGCTGAAGTAGAGTGTGATTCTTTATGAAAAGATCTGCTCATTATAACCCCTGTACAGGTTTTTAAATTTGGATTTAACATGTTGCATTATGAAAATCTGTCTAAAAGGAAGGTTGTTTTGTTTTTGCAGTGCATCTGAGCCTCCCCTCGAAGGGGAAACTGCAATCTTCCTCCATGGTCAAGAAAAGATTTGGAAAGGATTTATCAACATGCAGTCAGTTGCGAAGTTTGTGACCAAGGCTTACCTGGTCTCAGGATCCTTTGAACATCTGAAAGAGGTAATTTTGACCAAACAAAAATGTTTTTGATAACATTTTTGGTAATAATAGGAATAAAAGTCACAGTTTTAGGTTAATACTTTAGGTTAATACAGCAAAAGCCTCATTTATAGGTTTGTCAATGTTGTGCAGGATTTGCCTGATACCATTCATGTCGGGGGCCGGATATCTCCAAACACAGTGTGGGACTATGTCGGGAAGCTGAAAACCTCACTCTCCAAGGTTTGTTTTTACAAAGAATATCTTGTGCAAAAGCTGGATTTTTGATTTAAATGCCTTCCATTACTTATGTTGGTTATTTTGCTCTTTTTTTCGCTCACAGGAACTGTGTCTGATCCGTTTCCACCCAGCCACAGAGGAAGAGGAGGTGGCATATGTCTCTCTCTTCTCATACTTTAGCAGCAGAAAACGATTTGGTGTAGTGGCCAACAACAATCGCCGCATCAAAGACCTCTATCTCATCCCACTGGGCTCAAAGGACCCATTACCCTCCAAACTTTTACCGTTTGATGGGCCAGGTAAGCATTTAGAGGGGTACACAAATATAACATTGTGGTTTCTTGTGTGTAATTTTCTTTGTGTTAATGTTTGTTTTGGTAAAATGTGTCACTTTATATCTCTCTCTCTCTATATATATATATACATGGTGAGTATGGTTGATGTAGTTTTTGCCCAGGTTGAAATGAGAGCTTGTTTATTTACTGAGGTTGGACTGTAGGGGGTGCTCACACTCCTTGGAAAACACCTCTGTGCATGTAACAGATGCTGTGTTCTCTTCTGTGTATCTGGCTTTGTATCACACATTTCTAATAAAGAAAGTTTGCATCGCAGGTTGGTGCCATTTCAGGCCAGTCTCAGCCTGTTGTTTCTTAAGACTTGGCTCAATTTAAGCGTTAATGAAATGATTAATACAATAATCAGTACATTCTGTGAGGTAAGTTGTCAGTCACTTTATGCAAAGCTACTGTTCATATAGTAACATGCTGCACCACTGGAATGAACCCACAATGCTCCTAAACATGTCCTCCCAACTGAAGAATCAGCACTTGAAGTAAACCGTGCAACCAGAGATTGATGGTACCACAGAGAATATGCAGCTGAGGCGACAAAAAAAGATGTTAATGTCAGAGTGTCTCAAATATCAAAAGTTCTTTTGCATATTGTGTCTCAGAGAGACATTATTTGATGCAAAGGGTTTTCTTTTCTGTAATAAATGAGTGACCTCTGGAAAATACAATTGCACAACTTCAGATATTAATGCAAACAGATTTGTGATAAACCCAAATCAAATCTCTATAAGAAAATGTCTGTACTTGATTATGGAATCACTGGAACAATTTCAGTTATTGGACCTGCTGTTGCAGGCTTTCTCTGATGGTTTTATTTTACCACAGTGCAGTCAGTAAATTATTTTGTGATTTTATTAGATGTGGTCAGTGTTGGTTATGGTTGGTATATATAGCTACACATTACTTTTTAAAACTTTAATAACCAGCACAAATGTACGACAAGCAAATGCCAGCAGTTTTAACAACTGCTGACTTGTTGCTCAGATGTAGACAAGGAAACTGGCAGCGCCTTTGACTTTTTTATTGTTGTATAAAAGGATACTCTTGAGAGAACTGGTTTTACAGCTGATACAGCCTCACCTCATACATGTTCTTTATGTCTGAACCATGAGAATTGTTTTTCAGAGCTCTCATTTCACCTTAAACCTTTTGTTTTAGACATTACCAAAATACTTGCCATCTGTCTTGTGAAATTATATTTGCGAGTGTTTTCCAATTTCCCGTTTTTTTTCTTTTTTGTCTCACAGGTCTTGAACCGGCTCGTCCCAACCTCCTCCTGGGGCTGCTGATCTGCCAGAAGGACAGAAAGCGTGCTGGTGCTGCGTTAGAAACTGAGGAGAAACGGTCCAAGATTCAAACTAAAGATGCAGATGAAACTGGCCTCCCAAAACCACTTGCCTCAGTCAGAGCAGAAAGAAACTCACGACAGAGTCTTGAAATCCCCTTCAGCACCACGCCGCCAGGTTCACCTCCACCTAGCTCCTCTGAGATCTCCAGCAGCACTGTGACACCCTCCTCCGTCCTTTCCCTATTGTCCTCAGTCAAAGCTTCAGCCACATCCGCTGCTACTGGCATAGACTCCCCATCCTCATCCAGCTCTGTTGCTTCCACTGCAGCTACTGCCACTCCTCTTCAAACCATTCTCAAAACTCTTTTTGGGAAGACAAAGCATGACTCCGAAGCTTCCAACTCTCCGTCTGATCAAGGTGGAGAACTCTCTGCTCCAACTGCTACAATGCTAGACCCCATTGTGCGGCAGTTTGCACAGAGTTCTAAAGAGAAACCAATAGAGGAGGATGAAGATGACAGACCATATGACCCAGAAGAAGAGTATGACCCTAGTAGGGGCTATAATATACCTAAGAAGCCTGTTGAGGTAATAAGCAAACCAGAGCTCTTAAAGCAGCCTGAAGCGGTAGACAGTGAAGCTGATGATATTGCATATGACCCAGAGGACGACTCCATTTTTGAAGAGGTCAAAACTTCAGTGCCAGGTCAAGCAAAGGCTGCTACTGAAACTATAGCTGATCCACAAAAGATCCTGGAAAACCTTAAACAGATTGGGGATCAGGCATTGCAGAAACAGGGAGAACAACAAATGCCATCCACAGCGATGCCTGCTGCCTCATTGACACTTCCAAACACACTCCTGTCTCAACCTACCAAATCCCTTTTGGCCAATAGTCAGCTACTACAACTTGGCAAAAAGGTTGAAGAACTAGTGAAGTCTTCATCAGTTGCTCCCCTGATCAACCAGAAGAGAGATCCCAGACAGAGCAGGGATCCTCGGCAGGCTGCGGGTAGCAAGAAATCATCTGATGAACCAGAGGAGAAAGAGGAGGCAGCTGCTGAGTTAACTGATTCTGTTCCTACTTCACAGCCCATGGAGCAAGAGCCACAGCTGCCTGATACAGGTGAACTTGCAGACTCCTCACAAGGCCCAGAAACATCACTGCCTCAAGAGGAGGTGAAAAGTGAGGCGCTGCTCTTCACAGAGTCCGACAAGGCTGAGGTGTCAATTCCTTTGTTAGGTGAGGAGGTGGAACCCGATATGGAGGTCAACTACATGGATGAGAAAGAAGTGAAACATGAGGAAGTTCAGCCAATCAAGGCTGAAACAGAGATGGACAAGTACAGTATTTGGCCAAATGCTGCCAGTATTTTAAAAGCTGGTGAGGATTCAGAGTATGAGGAGAATAGCCAAGATGCACCAACTGCAAGTTATTACAACAAACCTGCAAACTCATCCACAATAGCTTCCACGATCCCTGTACTCACCCAGAGCGCGCCAATAGTTGACACGCAGCCACATCACATGTCGGCATCAAGTTTCGATGGCGAGTACAGACCTCCAGCTGACATTCCCCCACAGTCAAACTTCCCCCCTCCCCATCCCATCCAGGGACAAAATCTTCTAATAAGGCCTCCACCAGTGCCCATACTACCACCCATGCAGGGTCTTCCTCCATTGTCAGGCCCTCCTCCCATACAGGGCCCCCTTCCACCCATCCATGTTCCTCCCCCTGTACACGGACCTCCCCCAATACAAGGTGACAACACTCAGCAGTACGGCCCACCTCCATCCTCGTACCCTCCATATCAGAACCAGTGGCCCGGCACACAGCCGCCACAGCAGCAACAGCCACCTCCTGGACCACTCCCTCAGAATATCATGCCACCCAGAGGACCACCACCACCATTCCCTCCACTGGCCCAGAGAGGCCCTCCTCCTCAAATGTTTGATCCCTCTATTCCCCCTCAGCACATTGGACAGCAAGGTCCCCCTCCAGGCCTTCCCCCGCCTCCCACCTTTGATGGACAGAGCAGCTTACCACCACCAAGATTCACTGGTCCTCCACCACCTTTTAATTTCCCTGCCAGTAGAGGTCCTCCTCCTCCACCCTTCACAGCACCACCACCTGGTCACTTTGATAACAGGCTTCCTCCTCCAGCCATCTTTGCAGGGTCCAGGGGTCCCCCTCAATCTCAGTATGGTGACCATGGGGCTCAACCGCCGATGGTAGACCAACCTCGAGGACCTGCAGAGCAGTATAACAAAGACACTGCTAGTAACTCTTTCAAGCTAAATGTGGACCAGAATCCAAACACTTTCCATATGTTTAAAGACAATCAGGGCCCTCTGCCAGGTCCAGCCTTCCGGGGACCTCCACCCAACCAGTACGAGGACAGAAGAGGTCCACTTCCCAGCAGTGAGATGAGTGGACAGCTCTTCAGTCCTCACAGCCAGTATGGGTCCTCCAGACCACCATCCTCACCCCCACATCGATTATCTTTTGATGAGCACCGAGGTCCCCCACCTCAGGAGGGTAGACCTCACCCATCTCAGCCTTTTGGAGGATCAGAGCGGTACCGCTTCGATAGGCACTCGGATGAGGCTAGACCTGTTCGCCACAGCGGGCCACTGCTGCCAACTCCTCCAGAAGCTCCCCTAGGTCCTCCTGGTCGCATGGGAGCCCATAGCCCAGACCTACACAGGGACGACCACTGGCGCCGCCTTTCTCCTGAACTGAGGAGGAGGGTCAGCACCACCCGTGAGGACTCAGAGCCTCGCAGCGCAGATCGCTTCAGCCGCTTTGAAGGAGGGCACAGAGAACTGGGTCCTGGTTCCTCACAGCCTTCTGATGAGAGACAGAGGGAACTGTCCGAGGACCGCCGCAGAGAACGAGAGAGGGAGGTCCCTCATGCTGGCAGGTCCTCATGGGACAGGGGGCAGGGGAAGCGTTGGAGTCGAGAACGAGAGCGAGACTGGGACAGAGGTAGAGAAAGGGACCGGGATCAGAAGTGTAGCCGGGAAAGAGAACGCAGCAGAGGGAGGGAGGGCGACAGACACAGGGAGACCGAACCAGAGCGACACAGGGATCAAGACACAGAGAAGAGGCGAGACCGAGAGAGAGACAGGGAGAGGGAAAGGGACAGAGACAGAACTAGAGACTCTGACCGCAGGGACTACGACCGTGACAGGGGGGGGAGAAACCGTGACAGAGAACGAGAACGTGAACGAGACAAGAGGCGGGAAAGATCCAGAAGCAGAGAGCGAGACCGTGACCGTGATCGTGGAAAAGACCGGGGCAGGGACAGGGATAGAGACAGGGACAGAGAACGGGACAGAGACCGAGACCGAGACAGAGACAGGGAAAGAGATAGGGACAGAGACAGAGACAGGGAACGGGACAAAGACAGAGATCGAGACAAGGACAGAGATCGGCGGGAAAAGAGCAGAAGCAAAGAAAAGAAAGACGACAAAAAGGACAGCAAACATGATACAACCAAGGAGAGCGATAAAGCTGCAGACAATGACAAGAAGGTTTCCTAGTCTCTGTTCTGTGGACTTTACATCACCGACTCTTATTTCTTTCACCATCACTGTAAATGTAGATGAGCAGTATTTCGTTGAAGTTCCACAGTTGTGTTCGTACGAGGAAAAAAAAAACAAAAAACATTTGACAATGTTTGTATTCTCTTTGTCACTTCAAGGTTTCTAAGTTTGTTTTATTACATTTGAAAAGCAAAAAAAACTGAAGGCCATCTAAGTTGCTTGTGTACAAGATGTGTGATGTAGGCTACTGATTCCTATTACATGTACCTTTCTCTTGTCGAGGCATTTTTTTTATGAAAACAATGTAACTGATTAACACACCATTTGCAATATGTAAATATGAAAGTATTTCTGTATATACTGATGTTTTTAATCATGCTTTTTCTAAGTAGAGAAAATAAAAGCCATATATCTGAGATGGATAATGTGAAGGTTAAGGAAACACTGAGACACAAACGTGTGTTTATATGTTCAGCAGCTTTGAACTGAAAGGCTTCAACTATCTACAGTATACACCCCCTAAATGGTCGATAATAAAGTGTCCTGATTTTGTTTCAGCTCAACCAATTAAACCTGTTTGATGGAATTTGTTTGTCTCAGCTGTTGTTCATATATATTGTTTTGTGAATTAATCATCAGGATTGGTCCAAAAGCATTCACACATTGTTTACTTATGCAGAAGTAATTGTTGTAAAGAGTCACATGACAGTGTTTGAATGCCTGTACTTCAGGCTACTACAAGTACTTAACATCTAAAGTATTTAGCACCTTTTGTCACCATGGGGTGTACCTAAACTGTCGTTCATATCTACATTCTTCAAGTACAGATGAGATCAAATTATTTTCAGAGATGTTGTGAGCAAAGTATAATGAAGGGGTTTCAGAGATGACAGGCCTTCACCCCTGCTTAGTCTATTTACATAGTTTTGTTTCATTCTTGGCTTCATGATTATTTTATTTGATCCTGTAAACAACAACTGAGCCAGGACAGTTTGGAGCCCCCATGTGGAGGCCTGTCACTTTGAAAACCTCCAGTCTGATGGATTTAGCCTATCAGATGCTGCAGAATGTGAAGAAACCAAGACAGAACAAGAGTAAATGTTTGTGGGAACCATTACATCACCTATTTTCAATTTCTAAGAAAAATTTAAGTGCTGTGTCAAAGATGCCACAACCTTTTATTGTGAATATTGAGGATTAATGCACAAATCATTCAACAGAACTCCAAAACTCAGTGGATTTTTCTGGGATGATCAAGCTATAAATGCAACACAGTCAGTACAGAACCACCATTTGATATGACTTTGCTTCTAATCTGCGACTAATGAGGTTGATGTGCATAAACTAATGACTTTTCTTATTTACAAGTTCCACTCAATAACCATAAATTGGCACTTTATGTAGAAAAAAACCCCAAATACATGACTTATGATGATTTAAATAATTATAGTAGAGTATCTTAGACGCTGGTTTGGACTTTAAAAAAGAAACAGTGCTTTCTTTGCATTCTAAAAAGACACTTAATGAGGCAACTTTTCTATCAGTCTTAGATTATGGCGGCATCTTATACATGCTCATTACCATTCTGTGTTAAGATTTAGTACAAGTAATAGTTGTAATACTCATCACTGTGAGCTGTATGCTGAGACTGGGTGGCACTCCTGCTGCTTTTGTTTTTTTTTTACCTCTTTACGTCACACATCTTGCAATAATCAAACATACGCAAATGATTGGATCACACTGCAGATGCCAGCTGCTTCTACTGAGCTTTGAAAATCCAGTTTTACTTGCTGTGCACCTGCAACCTGGAACAACCTGCAGAACAATCTGAAGCGTGACTCATTTTTATCCTCGGGGTAATTTAGATTTTAAACTTCCTCTCATTTTACCTCCCGCTGCTCTTCTTTTAGTAGATTTGTTTTTAATTAGAAATGCTCTAATCATTCTTAATGATTTAGTTGTACAAATTTTGCTTTTTTAAAATTATTACCATTCCTATCCAAGTTCGTAATTCGAGCCTACATCTTTTTGTTTGGTTGCTTATTCTACTATATTGCAAATGAGGCCTCCATAGCTCGCTGTTTAAATAAAAGGCTGAATAATAGGAACAAGTGCAGGAGTGTAGGATAAAAGGCAGTTACATATGAGACAACAGGATGCAAACCTACAAAGGAAAACAGAAGAAAGATTTCCGACATGAGAAGTCTTTAATGACAAGTTACCGATGAGCAGTTCTTACAGTCCTTTGTGTTCAGCGTGTGCACATCATAGCAGCAGCTCTTTGTGTAAAACACATGGTCTTCAGAACACTGTGCATTTGCATTTCTCTTTGTGGAAAGTAAGAACAAAAATTAAATATGAATAAAAGCCAGGACACTGAATGCGACAGTAGACAAACACATTTGCTTAAAGAATTGTGCTTTTGTGAAAAAATAAAGAAACCATTATAGGAGTAACTTTACCAAACCTGATCATTGGTTGCTTTGTGTGAACTGATTATTTATATCAGCATTCATTGACTTGAATTAGGGCTTCATTGATGTTGTCAAAAATCAACCTTAAATGTTGTTATCAAAGTTGGGTTTCATATTGGGGACTCAGACACTCCACAGAGGGACTCAAGTCGTGAGCATCTCTTTTATAATCAGACCACTGCATTTGGATTTTCTTTGGGCACCACACAAACTCGTCTTTACGGTCATACTTCAAAAAGGCGAACTTGATGAGTTTCCTACGCTGACCTTTATCGAGGACAGCAAACAGGAAGTAGTTGAGGACGCTCTCCCTGACACGTGGAAGTTGTCTCTTGACGAGAGTCTCCTCCAGGAAGAACTGAACCAGAGGGGCCTGGTAGTGACGGTATCCCAGAGTTCCCAGGCACTTCAGGATGCGTGTGATGCGCAGGTTGTTATGTGTGTGACTGTCAAACGGTAAGAAAAAGAAAAGGATTACTTGGAGATCAGGCTTCAAGAATCATGTTTTCTTACACTTAAGAGACAGTTCACCTGTCCAGGTTGTTGAATCTGTCTCTCCAGTTCCGCGCTCTCCTCACTTCTCCTGTTTTCTCATCAAACAACTCGATGCCGTAAAAGTCCAACATGAGCTTGTATGACTTCAGCAGATTTTCCTTTGCAGTGCTGCTTGTAAGAAAATCCTGAAAAAAATACAGAACTGCTGTAAGATGGACTTTCTATTGAAATTGTAACCTGGTGGCGTTTGACCAATTTACCTCAACTTCTTCCTTCGTCAGTGGAGTGGCCTCATAGTTCATCCCTGGTTCTTGCAGCGGGAACAACCTGTGAGAGAAGGAAGTTATTCTAAACCTGAACTGAATATTTTACATTACATCTGTGATTATAGAGTAACTTACCACTGAATATAGGTGTGCACAAACTCCAGTGTGTCATAGTCTCCATACCAGTCGTCGTGGAAATGATGTATATAGACACCTGACAACAAAGATAAGTTTCATCAATTGCTAAATAGAAAGTTACACAGATTAAATTTATATCTATTTATTATATTATAGCTGCTCTTTTGTAAACTATCACAAACCTCTAAAGTTATTCTAAAGACGTGAGAGACGAAATCAGATCCATAACAACAAACCTGTGATGACGGCTCACAACAAGGAATCTCTTTGTTTGAGGACACTCAAGCCCACAAAGTTGCCTTAACCCTACTCAGAACTTTTGGTGTCTTTTGGACCCCAGGCTATTTGGTTTAGGTGACAGGTATTGCTTTTTTATTTATTTATTTATTTATTTTTTTAAATATAAAAAGAGGGACATGCGTCGTGCATTTGGAACCAAAATACGTCAACTTATAAGAAAATGTATTTAACATAGAAAAAAAGTCTATACTGAATACCAACAAATATTTTGCACATATTCTTTCTTGGGGTCCAATGGTGCCCGAAAGACCTTGTACGTACGGCAACATGAAAGTCCTGAATAGGGTTAATTACTTCATTTACTAATCACAGTAATCCATGTGCATGAACTCCACACAGAGTGGTTGTAACGGACCTACCATCCGGTAAAGTGGGTGAGTGTCCGAGGTAGAAGTTCAGGTTCGGCTTGTCATCCTACTCAAGAGAAGACAGTTTCACTAAGACACTGATTTTTTACATGTTTTTTAAATTTAAAAAGTCACACAGTAAATGTACATACAGATGATTGTGTTCTCCAGCGCTGAACCCTGGTTTGGTTCTGTAGGGAAACAGCACAACAACATTTGCATGGCTTGTGCTCAAACATGGGACAGTGTGTGTGTGTGTGTGTGTGTGTGTGTGTGACTTACAGGGTAGTTGTGCCTGTAGTTCTGCATGTCTTTTGCTGCCCTTTCAAAGCTGCTGAACTTGGACTGGAGCATAAAAAACAGATAAAAACAAATCAAGACTCATTTAGCAAATCTCCCCACGTGAGATGAAGTAACCCAGAAGTCACAGCTGAAGCTTCAAATGAGGAAACGCCTCCAGTGCAGTAACAGGAGGCCCAGACTGTGGACGACCTTTGATTTACTCACATATCTGTGGGCTGCTGGACGCCTGCTGCCCCTGAACGAGCTCTCCTGGTCCTGCTCGGTCTCCCACGTCGAATCATATCCACAGTACAACTCATCCGTGGTCTCCACGCGATACTCTTCGCTGTCAAACTCATCTTCCTCCTCCTCCTCCTCTTCCTCAAACCTCTGCCGCTTGCTGAAAGGCTCCGGCTCGAAGGCTGCGGCCCTTTTCCCCGCAGCAGCCTCATGTTGACCCTCACACACAGACTCCAGCGCTTGTTCGGGGACACTTAGGCCTTTGTTTTCGTCGCTGACTTCAGGTTTACGTCTCCAAAACTTGCTAAAGAGTAACATTCTCGAGCCAAATCCCAGTACGGGGTACAACATCCTGGAGATGAGGCGCCATAAGAGAATGGTCCCGCGCCAGAGCGACTCCAGCGCGGAGAGCATGTGGTCAGACCAGGCCATAGTCCATCCAGCAAGTCACCGACACACCGACACACAGGAAAAGTCAGCTCTGATAGTAAGTCTGTTTCACTTTCACTTTCTCTGAAGTTGACTTCACACACAAACGAAACTTTACGGACGAGAAACGCCCACAAATAGAGAACAACACACGTCCTTGTTCACTGGTTTGATCCAAATGTTTGAGGCTTTATTCACATCCTTTACTCAAGAAAAAAAACAATACTTCAACCAAATTGTAAAACTACTCTGTTGCAAACCAAAGCCTTTCATTTAAATGTTACAAAATTATCACCAAAATGTACATAAAATATTAAAAGTGTACATAATTTGCACAATTATCCCTTTTTAGAGATGCTTGCTTTGTGTTTATGTATATTTATGTATTTATGTATAAATAAACCTGGGGAAGACTTTAAAAAATTAAAAATAAAAATCAAGAGAGAGAACAGACATTGTTTTTGAGTATCAATTCAATGTGTAAACAAGAAGTATGCTTAAGTGAACACATTTAAAATGGAGTAATCCAACCTCACAAGTCACTTTGAATAAAACTTGTAATTTATGCTTAAGATTTACTAGAAATTATTTTAGATTTTTCCTTTTAAACGCTTTATTTTCAAGTTAATTTAAAATCGGGGATGAACCTTATAACTTCACTTTGTTATCACTGAAATTTAAATTAATTACATAAAAAATAATGTCATATAAATGGGGATGGTTAGCGACAGTAGCAAGGAATTGAAGCTAGCTAGCTAGCGCTACAGAAAGCTAATATAGCATAGCATTATTAGCCCAACATGAAGTCTGCTAGTTCACCTCATAGTCGTATAAAATGCCTTTTTTTAACTGCTTGTTAGCTGTTATGTTAATGTAGTAGGTGATAGTCTACATAATTCATCAGAAATTGAACATTAGCAAGGCTAAAGTTATGAAAATGAAAGTTGTGATGGGATGTTTAACCTCACTGTACTGAGAGGCTTAATAGCTAGCCTCATGCCTACTTTATCCACCAATAGATAAATGTGTACAATATATAACACTAGATATAATTGTTGTATTGTTTTCCACATTTTGTCTCTAAAATTGAGTCATAACCCTCCTCACTGGTGGGGTTTTGTACTTTTCCTTCATGTAGTGGAGGAAAGCTAGACTTTGTCATGAAAACAGTCCATTAAATCTAAGTACAGTACTTGAGTAAATGTACTTCGTTGCATTCCACCACTGGTTATGGGGCTATTTATCGTTTGCTTTCATAGCATTTAAATAGATGCTTGTAGAACAGCATTGATGTAACAAGACTGTGTGGAGCCTGAAACGGTAGCAGTCTGTGGTGCTCTGAGCCACATGAGGCCACAACTAGACACTTTCTGAAAGCAACATCAATCCAATATCTAAAGACAAAATATTTCAGTTCTCTCATGACAACAACTGCAGACAGACATGACCAACACATGGCGAGTTTGATTGTAGATAATAAAGTCAATCAGGAGAAAGACAGAGAGAATTACGCACAAAACATTGTATAATTTAATGCAGTTTTAAGGCATTTTAATGAAACTTAACTGTACAATTAGTGTATATACTTCTGGATTCATTACATGAATGATCTGCATAGCTTAAATGCTTCATCAAACTCCCTTAACTTAAACCTGAAAAGGACCTGTCTTTTCCCCCAACTTCAGCAGACTTTAACAACTTACATTTATATGTAGAGAGAAAGCCAATTTAAATTATTTTAAAATTAATTTCTTGTGTTTCTTTCCATCCCATCCAATTTGCTGTGTTTTGTTCCCTGAAGTGTGCGATGCAAACCTGTTGTAGTCTACACACAAGAAGAAACTACCCTGGTACCACAAATGAAGCAGGTTTGTAATTCAACTCTGAGATCTTGTGCAGAAAATGACACATGACTGTAATTTCACAACATAAAGACTATAGCCAGCTAAACGTTACTGTCATTTGAGAAAAGAATAAAAAAAACCACAGTACTCTTTGTAGTCATCCATACACGAGGTGTCTGAACCAGAACCTCTCTGAATATGACGTATAGGAATTAAAGACCACGTCTGTGCCCTTTTGGCTAATAAGGCTCAAAGGACTGTTCACATTAGCTGTAAAGTTCAAGCCTGTTTCCTTCTGTCACACTGATGACCCGTCACCAGAGACACATTTTCCTGCAAGTTGCTGTAATACTTTTACTCGGTTATGTTTATTAGGCATGCAAAACATATGGCATTTTTACATTTATGACAAAAATATCCTGCTTGTCCGTACTATATGATCATCATAACCACTGTCCTTATCTCTACTGCTGCTCCCGGCTCTTATCAGCGTAAAGATAGCATTCTGTTGGCGGTATATATACCCACCTCATTTTCTACGGGAACGGCACTTGGACCGATGAGTGTGTCGACTCCAGTCAGTGAACATCCTGCTCTTAATGTCTTCCTGTGGAAGATAAAGAGATGCATGAACTGTCCCGTAGAGCAGAGAGATATGAGATCAGATAACGCTGGATCATTACTTCATGGATGGAGTTGTTAAACTGCAGGATGCTTTACATAAAAGTGACCTGTTTTTCTGCAGCCATCGCTCGCCGCACTGATGAATTAATGTGTCCGTTTATGACCGTGTAAAAGTGTTTTGTGCATTATTTGTTTCCAACCATGTGAAATTTACAGGGGGAATTGATCTTAAATAATACTGATGTGAGCACTGTGTGCACTCATATAGTGGTCTCCGGCGAGGTTATTATCTCTCAGGGACTCCTTTCACAAGTAGATAATTGCTCTTATCGCCACTGGAGAAAATCAAGGCTTGTCTGAGTCCTACACTGTTAACATCTGCTCAGCAATAGATTCATTTGTGCTTACTAAGGCAGGTTAAGGCCCTATACTATCTCCAGAAGATAAAAACACAGCATACAGATAGCCATATGTTCTGTCGAGAATGGAGGCAATAAATGTGGATTTTAATGACAGATCTCAGGCTCTTTATGGCCTGCTTTAGTGCATGAATAGTTTCCACAAATTGGAATGCCCTCCTGAAATAGATGGGAACTTGGTGCGGAATATGAAACTGAAATAACTTGCCGCACTGAGCTATACAGCAGCGAGACTATTTTCTGGTTGCACTGCCGTGAACCCAATTAGCATGACACTGAGCAAAAAAAAAAAACCCAGCAGATGCCACAGGAAAACTCAGCGAGGCTCCACCAACGAGGCCCCTGTGTAGCCGCACTGATACATACACACAAATCATCTCCGCCGTCTCTCACTGGGCCTGTGTGTCGGACTTAGTTAATGGCGACAGCTCAGTGGTGGATCACTCAGCGACTAAGTGTGCTTGATAAAGGTCAGCGCTGCCACCGGCTAATGCTTCATCGCTCAGAGTAATACTTTAGCCGAGCGGAGTGTGAATACTCTGCACATGAACGCTTCACGGGGCAAAATAATCAGGAGAGTAGAGTCTGGAAAGGCCAGCTGTTTCTGCTGTGAAGCAGCCACGACACATGCAGACACTCTGACAGTTGTGTATCCCAAACCTCTCCAAACACAGGGTCAGCGGTTAACGGCTTGAGGAGTGAGTCTGCTGCATGAATACTTCACAAAATGGGATGAAAATGCGAAGTGTTTTTTTTTCTTTTTATTTGACAACCTTGTGAATTTACAAGCAAAAGAATTGAACAATTTATTTTTTAATCCTTGTATCGTGCTTGCAATCAAGTATAATTTTACCCCTCCACTTATTTTTGTAAAGATAAATTGCATTAACTCAAACACACAAGTCGTCCAACAGAATATCAAGATTCCCACTTGTAATTGTTTTAAAAATGTATACATTAGAAAAGTAGATTACAGTTACATTACTGCAAAAAAAAGAAAAAGTAATCCTCTGACAAATGGGATGCCAAAAATACTGCTGAATAAGCAAAAATAACCACCTACTAAAATTCAATAATTTTCCTGTTTAAAATACAGATAAGAGATTAAATATATTAGATCATGTGTATGTTATTTAACATTATTGTTTAAAAATAACTCTGCAAATACACTGGATATCTGTCAAATACATTATCTATACACTGCTTAATCCTCACTGGGGTCGCGAGGGGCTGGAGTCTGATATGTTTGTGTATTTCAGTGCATTTCCAGTGGTTTAAAGACTGCCTCCAGATGTGTTAGATTCTCTTTTTTAAACAATAATTCTATAATTTGATGCCTCATTCTTAAACTCCAATCTGTCAACATCAGAAATGTGGTTCAACTGCTGGACATCAAAAGTCTCCTCCTTGACTGAGGCATCACCTTCACTGTGAAGTAACTCTAATTAGAGCAGACTTTAATGAAGTGACCCCTGCAGACAGAATGAGGGCAGGTGTGAGTGAGTGCATCTGTGAAGACCTTCACACATTCTCTTTAGGTTCAGTAAACAGAGCCGTGCGAGCAATCCTTAAGTAGGCTAGACAAACATCCTGTGGAAAGTCAAGGTGCTGCCAGCTGGTGCAGAGCTCAAGTAACTTCTCCACCTTTGGTTCCTGTTGGCCTGATGACACGTTAAAGCAACAGGCTACGGTTTCAGCACCTTCTGTGTAACCCTAGAGCACCTGAACACATCAACTCCGGGAGGATGAGATCAGCCCGCGGAGGATCCTCCGTGCGTCCCAGTGAGCGGCTCCATCCCTCCGTGCCTCGGCGAGGATGAAGGCGCACAACATCAGGACCGTCTCTCTCATCCTCTCCATCGTCTTCTACCTGCTCATCGGAGCCGCCGTGTTCGACGCGCTGGAGTCGGAAAGTGAGAGTTCCAGGAAGAAGGCGCTGGAGCAGAAGCTGAACGAGCTGAAGAAGAAGTACGGCTTCAGCGAGGACGACTACCGGGAGATCGAGAGAGTTGTCCTGCAGTCGGAGCCGCACCGAGCGGGGAGGCAGTGGAAGTTCGCCGGATCCTTTTATTTTGCCATCACCGTGATCACCACGATTGGCAAGTACTCTGTGTTAAATGCATTCAGCTTAGAAATAGAAGTCCCTCTTCTGCCTTAAAGATGTGAGTTAACCGCACTTTGCTTGGTTAATTAGTTCGAAGTCAGCTGATGAGTTGTGAATGAGAGAAAACAATACGCTGAAGATCAACGAGTCACATAGATGATGGTTACACACTTTATTTTCTTTCACATTGTCAAAGTTTAACGAGTTTCTTCTTCATTTAAAATGAAAATGAAATGAAATGAAATGAAAAGTACTTTATTTATCCCAGAAGGGAAATTCAATCTTGTAAAAGCTCACTTTAAAAAAAAAATCAATATAATTCTATACAACAACAACAAATTAAAAACTAAAAATTAAAAATTAACCCTTCTATTACCTTCACATCTTTTATCCTTGACTTCAATTTGATCCCAGCAATTTAAACCTCCAGAAAATATCATAATTAAAATTGTTTCCCAAGTTTATGTGTAAATAGCCCTTTAAATAAAACTGAAAAGTTATGTCAATGACTTATTTAGAGATTTGAAACATTGAACGGGATCAAATTGACCCCAAAGATAATAGGAGGGTTAATAACGCTCAGTCTTTGCTGTTGAAGCCATTTTTGACCAAAGACAATCTGTGAGGACTAAATACAAAACTCACCTGAGATGTGTATAAGTGTGTGACACTCCTATCTAGAAAAGTAGAAGTATGACATAAAAAGTGACATTATCATCAAATATAAAGTTGTATGTCATAAAATTATACTTTGCAAAATTCCATTGTTAAAGTGGTTAAAGTGTTAAAGTGGTATCACCCCCCCCCCCCAAAAAAACCCACAACATATATATAATTTGTCATATATGTCAAATTTCGAATGAGTAATGCATTACATTACTGCACTCACACAAATTGAATGCAATTACAGTACACCACAGCTGAGGTAAACTGCACAGTCAGACGATAATTCTAGTACAACAAACACTGATTAGTGCAAGTTTAATTAACCGCTGAATTAAGACTGATTTAAATAGTGTTTGCCGACAGTAATTTAAAGACTTGAGTCAGACCTGCACTGAGTGATGTGTCACTGTCTCTGCCCTTGTGAAGCAGCTGTAGATTTGATGACTGTGAATCTTTCTAGACTAAAACTGTAGTACTTGACATCATGTGACCTGCGATGTACTGTGACTTTGTAGGTTATGGCCACGCCGTTCCACGCACTGATGCTGGCAAGGCCTTCTGTATGTTTTACGCAGTCTTGGGCATCCCTCTCACGCTGGTCATGTTCCAGAGCCTGGGCGAGAGGATCAACACTCTCGTCCGATATCTCCTGCGCAGAGCCAAACAGGGCCTGGGCTTCCGGGAGACGGAGGTGTCCATGGGCAACATGGTCCTGGTGGGTTTGCTGTCCTGCGCCGGCACCCTGTGTATTGGAGCCGCGGCTTTCTCCCATTTCGAGGACTGGACCTTCTTCAACGCCTACTACTACTGCTTCATCACGCTCACCACCATCGGCTTCGGGGACTTTGTAGCCCTGCAGAAGAAAGACGCCCTCCAGAAGCGATCCTCCTACGTGGCCTTCAGCTTCATGTACATTTTAGTTGGGCTGACGGTCGTCGGAGCTTTTCTCAACCTGGTGGTGTTGAGGTTTATCGCTGTGAACTCGGATCAGCCCGACGCCAGGCCCGAGGCGGGGGCAGAAGAGCAGGCATCGCAGCCTAAGGACACGCAGGAGGACATTGAGGCGTTGGATGCTGGAACAGAAAGTCCTGAGGCTGGATGTAAAGACAGCGAAGACGGACACAGCAGCCGGTGCAACCTTTCCCTTCCCATGGAGGGCGGCACCAGCTGCACCAGCCTCCTCCCTTCTCCTGCAGAGGAGCACAGACTTATTACACCTCAGCACTCAGCGCTCCCTGAACCCAGCAGAGTCAGTGCCTTGCTCTGCTGCATGTGCTGCGGCCTGGACGTTAACGACAGCACCTCAGAGCCTCACCATGACCCAACAAGCGGCCACAGCAACCCGGTCTTTTACAACTCCATCTCCTATAGGGTGGACCAGGCCTCCTGCAGCTCCTGCTCAGAGTCGTCACCGGCCTCCCCCAGCAGCAGAGCGCTCTGTCTGGGCAAGAACAAGCTTCACACCAGGCGGAAGTCACTTTAAGACAGTTGAATTTTTATTTTTATTTTTAACAAACCACAGAACAGATCAAACCATCTGTTTTTCTGTTTGGTGGAACAAATTGCCTCATTCATGAATGTAGCACGACTATTACTATCAGATATAATGTAGCATATCTTACCTCTCAAATACAGTTTATAATGTATTTTTTTTACATTGGGGTTACAGCTAAACTACAAATATTTAAAAAAGTGAATTAAAGTATATATGCAAATCAAAGTTACCTTCCCTGCTTCACTGTAATGTGTTGCATGAAAGTTACAGAGCGTGATCAGCCAGCAGAAAATGTCTCACATGCCTGAGAAAGGAGGAGATGTCTGCGTGAATATTTTAGCTGTCAGACTTTCTGCAGCGTTGTCACCTGTGACCTTCAGTTACTTCCAGTCAGTAATCAGCGCTGTTTTCTATTAGGAACATTTACTCCGTCGCTGGTTCCCTAGGTAACGTTTTCATCCTCGTTGCTCAGCGTTGCGGAAACTGGAGACGGACACGTACAGTACAGCGAGCGGTGATTGTCTGAAGGCGGCATCCAAGTCAAAACTGTGATTTACAGACCGCGTCATCTGTGATGAATGAGCGTGTCAACAGAGAATGGAAAATGAGCTACGGCTCTAAAATGGTGGCAAATTAGAAATGTCCCCAAATGAGTGTTTAATTGCCGTCTGAGATGTGTGGTCGAATCACACAATGCAAATTAGGCCTTTAAATACAAACCGCTGAAACATAGAAAAATGTCTTTAATCCCATCTTTTGCACATCTGAAATTAAGAAAAAGTTTTGTTTGTTTGATGTAAAACTACTGAAAGGCCTAAAGTTACCTTGTTTGACCATTATTTTTATGCATAAAGTTGATCTTTTCATCTCAGGTAATAGTTGTCTGCCTGGGAAAACTGTTGTTTGATGTCTTCTGTGACTCTGGAGGAGCTTCCCACAGTCTAAAATATAACTAACTCGTGTTGCAAACTGGAGGTGTGGAGGCTGAAACAGATGAGTTCAACAAAATCAGTTGTGGCAGAATGTCAGAGAGCACAGTTATTTAAATACTAAGTTTTAAGGTGTTTGTGCTTTACTCGAGTATTTACACTTCTGTTGCTTTATTCTTCTACTCCTCTACATTTTGAAAGGAAATAGCGTTCTATTTACCTCATTGCATTTATTTAACAATTACCAGTGACTTTGCAGATTCCTCCATACCGCCACCACTGATTATAGGAAATGTTTTTGCTGCTTAATCCATTCTAGGGACCTAATTAAAATCGGGAAAGCTCAGCATCTGTTGCTTCAGTTTTGTCCATTCTGCTTTTAAACTGTTTTGTCTCTTGTTAGTTGCTCAGCTTTATAGACGTGCAAAACTAAAATGTGATCCCAGTGGTGCATTTGTTTAACAAGACACACAAAGGAAGAAAGGCTATTGTTCATAGTGTGGTATCAGATCTGTAAATCATGTCTTAGCATGTCATCCAGTCATCTCCATTTGCAGCCTCATGTTCATCTTTTCCATTCTTACTCAGCGGGATGTGATTTCAATTGCAAGAATCATGTTCATTTGTATTCTAGCAAATCATTGACCAATTTACAACTTGCATTTGCTGTTGCACTTAGAAAAAAAAACCAGCCCATTAACCAGAGGAGCCTCAGTAATGATGGCAAACATCTGCCCTGTTAAATACCACTGAGATAAGAAGCTGAAGCCGCAGGTACGCTGGTAAGTGGCTGACTTTTCAGTCGTGGCTTCATTTTAAATTACAATTTTCTATCTCCTCCTTTTAATATTTATTAATCTGTGCCTGATCTGCACTCTGACCTCCCTGTGGAAAGGTCAGCTCGAGGATCGCTCAAGTTTTGCATCACATTATATTGTTACCAGGAGCCCCCAGTGTTACCAGCAGTGACTTGCATTTCATTCTTTTTTCGAGTTCCTGTTCCTCACACTAGGGAGCAGCATTGGTCCACATAAAACGCAGGTTGATTTCTACGAGATCCGCAACACCGGCAGTTTAGTTTGCTGAAATCTTTGCACAGTACACTTTTTTTAATTTGTGTAGAATGGTGGCACTAATCTAAAAGCAATTTATAAAGTAATATTCTAGGAGTGAGTTACACCTTTTATGGGAGACAACACGGTCTTTACTCCAGCATACTCAATGTTGTATATAAGGAATTAAACCATGACGGCAAAAAATGTGTTTTTCTCCCGACAGCGTGAACTGTGACACAGATTACTTCTGTGGGAATAGATGCTTGGCCACTTGATAAGTGAGCTTTTCAGTCAAGCGTACAGATGTATAGGCTATCAGCTCCCGGCGTTATCAACTCTGATTTAGAAAGACATTTGTGAAGCAGCAGAAAGGAGAGGTCTGAACAATGAGCTTCGTGGCATGAAGATCACTATTTCATGAGTGATGAAAGCTGCTGTCTGATTTGCATAATTACTCCATTAATATTGCAGATGGTGTTTCACTTTATTCTGTTATGATGCCTCAGATGCCGTCTCGTATCTGTGACTGTCACTGTTCCAACACTCTGAGCCTAAAAGTATTGAAAACTATCTACACAGACCAGTGATCAAATAGCACAACACAGAGGAGGCAAATGGTGGTATAAAATGAGTTGGACATGCACAATGAGTAGCTTTACTCCGAAACAAAGACCTTTGTATGAAGATTTTCTGCTCCTATATTATCTCATGCATGGCAGTGGAGAAGACTGACACCCCAGATTGAGTTTTTTTTTTATTCATGGCTCCGTGTGTGGCAATGCGTTGAGCGGTTTTTATTACGATGCTACGAAAGATAATGTTGCGTTTTATGTGCACATAATGGATTTTTGCAGGTCGTGAGCTGCAGGTGGTGGTAGTGATCTTCTTAAAATAGCGGTTTTATGAATGCAGAGGACCTCAGGTGAGTCCAGTTTCCCTGCACACCTCACTTCTGTTCACATTAGGAAAATGCAATTCTGTGGGAAGTCAGTTCATTTAGGTGTTATGGCTTGTTTTTATGATAACTGTTCATGCAGATTCCTCAATAAACTCAACACTGTTGGAGAGAAAATGACTGCAAATGTATAAACTTGTAATTTGACGTGTTAATATGCACAAAGCAATGCTTAAGCTCATTTCAAAACAATACAAAACAGCCATAACTTTCGAACCTCGCCAGCTATTGATTACATTGTTGAGTTCCGCTATGAAAGATGCGCACACGTGTGTCCGTTGCAGCACTGCAGTGGTTCAGGCCCTAGAGAGCGGGTGAATAATTCATCGTATTGTTAGATATTTCGTTTTGTGAACACACTCTGTCATTACTGTTGCATGCTGAGGGGTCTTTCATGTGCAGTCGTATGGCAGGGGATACAAGATTAAATCGGAAACCAGCCGTCGGTTCAGGCAGAGTGCAGCTCGACTTTTTCAAAAGGGTAAATAGCTTTAATATGGTAGAAAATATGGGCAGGGGGTTCATAATAGAAGCTGCATGCAAATAAAGTATTTATGAATGTACCAGAAAGCTAAAGCAATCGCTGTTGCCATGTTTTGATTATGGAGAAATATATATTTGTCTGTGTATACGGTATTCACGGTCTTTCAGGAGGATCTGTGAGATTATGAGTTTTTTTCTTGGATGCATGTCAAAAATGCAAAATGCATTCTCTGTGGCTGGCGGCGAACACAATGAAAGATTTAGGAAGTAAAAACAAGTGTCATATTTATTCGGATTAATTAAATAAGTCAAAAATGGGATTCAGTGGGAGAGCATTGAGAAAACAGACATTAATAGAAGTTCATTGGTGGGGTAATTGCTCATTAGTTTTAATTTCCAGCCAATTTGCCGCGTGTGTCGAACAGGGTGAAAAGGCTGTTTTTACTCAGTGGTTGTCTCCTCCAATCAGACACTATGTTTGACACACTGTGCCTCTTTGACATTTCGTGCCAAAGAGATCACACTGCTTGATTAATTGCAGTTTGAATTAAGCCTTAAAGGAGAGTTTGAGTCATCCCTAAATCAATGGGGATACAAATCTGCAATAACGACTTTCCAAATCTGATGACAGTCATCGCAAATTGGCCATTATGTTGTACAGAGTGAGCTGGCAATGTGAGACTACCGATTGGCAAACAATTAAGGTGCTCAGTGTCATTCTCATTTTTTTGCTTTAATGCCCGTGTAAGCCTAAATGCCTCCACTCTAGTACCCACAACGGTGAGTGTTTGACTTTTCTTGGTCAGACAAGATACTGTCAAACATTCCCATGTCTTTTTAATTAATTTAAGTTATTAATGCTCTGCTGCAACAGAAAATAAAACAGAATTAAACATCTCCGCAATTGTTGGGTGCACCAGATTTTGTATAGAATTTCTTGATTCTCAGAAGATGAAACCTACTGACTTTGGTGATCCTCTGCTACCGAGATGGATTAGGATGCAATTTGGTACATTTGTTTAAAGTCTTCAGACGATGAATCCTGCTGGCATGCTGGCAAATATGAATTTGATGTATATTTGCCCCTGACTTTTTGTTACGGTCTGCGAGCTGTTTGTCAGGTGTGTACGGCAAAAAAAAACATCCGGTGTTTGTACACAGTCGTGACTCTGTAGATATTACACAAAGCGGCTCAGACTGACCCCTGACCCACACTATTGTATGCCAGTGCAACCCTGTCTCTACAAAATTATGTTTCTATGCAACTAAACTGCATTCTCAGTTACATTATCAGGGAAGCATATTATCTGCAGGATTACATTTTTGACATATCACAAATGTATTTCTAATTTTCATATCTTTGCCATTTATTTTATTGCTTCACTGTTTCTCCATTTTGGCCAACCAGTCACACATCAGATGGGGTTGGAGCTTCAAATGTGTTGTAAAAGAGTCGTATTTTAACCCATACCTTGATATTTTTTTTCAAACTCTAACCAAGTAGTTTTAGCTTAACCATGTAGTATGGTGCTGCAAGGGGGCTCGGTGGTTAGCGTCGTCGCCTCACAGCAAGAAGATTGCTGGTTTGCATCCCGGTGAGGACACCCGGGATCTTTCTGTGTGGAGTTTGCTTGTTCTCCCCGTGCAGCGTGGGTTCTCTTCAGGTTCTCTGGCTTCCTCCCACAAGGTCCAAAAACATGATGAGGTTATAATTGGTGATTCTAAATTGTCCATAGGTGTGAATGTGAGTGTGCTTAGTTGTCTGTCTCTAAGTGTGGCCCTGTGATAGACTGGCGACCTGTCCAGGGTGTCCCCTACCTTCACCCTAATTAAGCTGGGTTAGGTTCCAGCCCCCCGCAACCCTAGTGAGGATTAAGCGGTGTATAGATAATGGATGGATAGATGGATGTAGTATAGTATCAAAGTGTCGACCAAAGCATGGTCTCACTAAGTTAGCCCATTGTGTAGTACATAATGCTCTGGCTGCACCTCACTGTCATTCTACTATAAGGAACAAAAAACTTAGTATTTCTTCAAACCAATCACAGACATCCCTCAAAATGTTGCCTCAAAATAGTGATGAGTGGAATTGTTGTGGTAGACGAGCACTGTCATTAAAATGGATAATGCATGCAAAAAAAAAAACAAAAACAAAACTTAGCAGGGCTGCCGTACTGCACAATCCAAATCTATCCATCTATCCATTATCTATACACCGCGTCATCCTCACCAGGGTAGCGAGGGACATTTTCAGCATGATAGGATGCTAGCCTGGAGGTCGTTGTCGTTTCTATAACGAAGGGAATTTTGAAATTGGTAGCATGCAGATAGCAGAAAGAAAAGAGAAAGCCAGCTGACAAGAACAGCCAATGACTGGCTTATACCTGAAGCCTACATCCAGTGAGTCAGGCTAACCAAAGTGGGATGTTTTTCTAAACCTAACCGGCATGCAAGTGGAAACTGCAACTCAGCAATAACTGAAAACAAAAAATAAATCTTAGACTAATGGTCCCTCAAGGGACGTGAACCCTGGTCTTCTGGGTGAAGAGATGCTTCAGTCCTCCCCTCATAGCTCCTACAACGTCACATCCATCCATCCATCTATTATCTATACACCGCTTTATCCTCACTAGGGTCGCGGGGGGCTGGAGCCTATTCCAACCGACTTAGAGCGAAGCCTACAACGTCACATGTGAGAAAAATTAGTTTCTTTCAAAATTAAATTATGAATCCCTTAAAATATAATTTAATAGTTTAGTTGTACTGGAATATATTTTTGAATAGCCAGGGTTGCTCAGTGATCGTGCATGTTTGTACAGGACAAGGGGGAAATGGGGCAATAAATCTGGCACAT